ATTACCCAGGTACCGATGAGGAGACTGAAATCTCCGAACTTCTGAGTCGTAGTCCTCCGCCCAATAAACAAGCAAGACTTCGATTAGTGGACAGAGCCCTTTTACATTTCTGAAAAAACTACAGATGTGAGGGTTTAAATCTGCAAAGAAGTCGTCTAATCTTCTTATGTTTGTGAATAATACGAATAATCACTTAGGTAAATATAAAAGATATTAAATACCTGTTCGATCGTCTGTGCAGACAGCCCATGCTAAACTTCCACCGAAAAACAGCGAACGTGGCATCAGCATTCGAGTCCGGTTCACCTCCCAGACTTACTAATAAGCAAAACGTTCTATTTGGTTTCGACATGCACCTTACTGGAAGTCCAGGGGGGGCTAACCACAGACAAACGCAAATCAAAACTCTGAGAAAGTACGTCTGAGCGTTTTCCAAGCCACCCATCTAGTACTCTGTTGATAGCAACAGTAGTGCCTCAACACGACCAATAACCCGCGGGTGGTGCACGCTTTGGAGACTGGTCCTGTGGGTTCATAATAACGATATGTGGGTAGATAAAAAAAGAGGAAATAATGAAGGAAATATTACCACCATTAAAAATGCAGCCCCTGGCTAATCAGGTTTGTCAATTGTGTTTTAGACTACGTAATTTACTTGATGCAAAAAATGGTAGATATGAGCTAGCAAAAAGTACAATACCTATAGCTGACATCCAGACAGACACAAGACGTTAAACAGAGCAACTGGCAAAATCAGGGATAACCGGAATGAACCAACAACAGAAAAGCACCTAGAAGTTAAGGACAATTAATGGAATGCGAAAAAAGTCCGAAACAAACATCCAGTAACCAAATCGCGATATAGAAGTTTGCACTAGACGGCAAAGTTGACTGTTCAACTGCCGTGATTGTTCACAGCTGAGCCGGGCAGGACCAGACTGGCCTAAGACTGCCGGTCTTTAAAAACATGATGACAGTACACTACTTGCTGGTTCAGAAGATTAAGATCTAGAAGTCGCAACCAATCAACAAGTGACCTAATGAAGGCAGCTTGCAAGTGGTTTTTCAATTACTAGGGACAATCGGTGTAACACTTTCAATGACCTGGAACTTCGCGACGACTTAACATGTCTCATAGGAGTCTAAGAGGACAGGGTGTGTTGCCCTATTTACAATGCTGTCGAAATGTTCGAGTTACTAGTGTGCTTACATATGAATACTGGCATAAAGATGCATACACATTAGAAATGAAGTGCTGAGTTATCGGTTACTTACCACCAGGGGAACACTTGGAGGCCGGCTTGATACCCTCTGCGGAAATATACAACAAAAGCACACCATTGCTAGGCAAGTCCATGAAACCGGCTGCCATAAAGGTGTTGAATTGTGAGAAAGATGGTTTGTATAGGAGATATTTGTGTGGATTTGACGTGCGTGGTTCGCCGGGGGAGCTCGATTGTGGAGGGATGGGAGTTGATTGGTTAGGAGTACCACTACCGGAGCCGTTTTCTACACATTTTTGGGCTCGACTCAGACTGGAAAGGGGGTGGGGAGTATTGCCAAAGTTATCTTGAGTATCATGTTCCAGACACTGCAGGATTCGAAACATATCAAGAGTGAGTTCGCTGAAGCGGATTTGGTCAAAGCAATTGCCGACAATGAGGATTTCCGCCAAATGAAGTTGCTTTGAGGGAATATTTGTTTTTTCAGGCGGCAGACAACTGAAGGGAGTCAGGCGATTTGTAATAACGACCGGAGTTGACTCGCCACTTAGAACAGTACATATGTTGTCTGCCTCAACGAAGTCACGAATTTCTTGTACGACAATATTCCATTCCGCTTGATCCTCTGGGCCATAGAGTGGGGCATAGTCACTTATGTGTCTGGAAAATTCCTGATTGCCACTTAAATGGAGATTATAATAACGGTGCATACTTTTGTCAAATCCCGGACAAGGCGCAGCTTTTTCAATAGCAGGCAGACGATTATGAACCTTGCATAATACCGCAGGGTTTTGACAGCCAGCTCGGCCCGTTCTTCTTTTTTTGAACTGGAAAAATAATCTCGGGTGCGGATGGCTGAGAAGAATGAGAACGATTCTTGCAAGTAGTAAGTATCGCTGGTTCTTAGGCTGCATGGCTTACATAAATTAATAAAAACTTACTAATAATGATAGTAGAGTTGTCCAATCTTAGAGGCAATCTCCCCGATCTGCCACCGTTTTAGTCCATAAATCTCATCTAATATCTGCCTGTGCTGCTGCTGGAATTTCCAGAGTTTGGTATAGACGTCGAAAGTACGTCCAAAATACGTCTGCCATTGTTTATGGCCGTAAAGCGGTAAGTCCCTAAAATTTTAAATTACCAGAGTCACAATACTGGATAAGCAAATAGGTAAAAATGACAAGCAATTAACAAAAAGGGCCGTTAAGCTAAAAAAGTTAGAGCATTTCTGTTTTGAAAGGAGATTTATATTCTAGACTGAATGCGAAGTATTATCAAACATAGACACTACATGTAAAACCAAACAGACAAATAGGTTGAGTACCATTTTAACTGCACTAGTAAAACATCGCAGTGAAGTAAAACATAGATATGCCACAAATAGGATGCAATACGGTATGGTATAGTAGAATGCGTGATCAAACATAAATACAGCGTGAAGAAAATGTATGCACTAGAAATAATACTGAACAAAAGTCAGATAGCACGCATAAGATAATTGACTTGCACACAGTATGCAAATGCTATTTAGAACCGCTTTCATTTAGAGCGTTACTTAATCAAAGGAAAAAGAATGCTACCATTAAACGATCGAGAAGGATGAACAATCTTATTTCTCTGAAAACTGCTGGCATTTTCTCGCATAAGGACAAAAAGAATGAGCAATAGGCACAGTTTATTAAACTGTACTGTCCATAACTGATATTAAAGAAACTAAAGAGCACAAAATAAACGGTCAGGGGATTTTGAACATGTAGAACAACAGAGCAATCAAAAAGGCCGTGCAAAAATTTACAGCTAAAATGAGTAAACAAAAAACGCAAAGGAAAAATACAAAACGAAAATGAACAAGGTACAAGTTTTGCGAATGAGAGTCTATCGAAACAGTTCTCATAAACTAACCTGAGGCCGTTAAAAAGTTGTTTGGATTTTTCAAGAAGATGACAAAATTCGTTGACGCGAAGCTTATCTAAGCTGGAATTTTCCGCGTTCACAGGCTCCATATGATATTTAATTCATATGGCGCGCCAAACTTTCGGGTGGGTATAACGAGGCCTCGCTGAAGTAAGTACAATATTCGAAGTCTTCATAGCAATAATCTTAAAATGACATAAGTATGTGCAATTTTACATCTTTCTTAGAGACGTGAAACATATTTAAGCTGTTAAAATACACCTTAGCATATAAAGAAGGTCCGCAGACTGGCCTTTGTGTTGTAAACGTTCGGATAAATTCAACCGCAGGATGTCACCACAAGATGTTAAACGTACCGTTCGAAAGCAGAAACGTAAAAAGCAGAATGCAAACCGTAGCATAACAAGGTTTGAACGCGCTTTACCATTAACGAGGCGATAGTTCGTCCGTCGTAAACAATGATTACCAATGGGCGTTGTAAATACAATAGACAATAAGGCATAAGCCATCTATACCCTATTCAGAACGTAAATATCGGTAATGTCTACATAGAAATGTGTAATATCTGATCGTCTTGGGTTCAGAAGAAGAAGAAGAAGACTCGATCGTTGGGACAATATGTTTATTCGCCAGACGTTTCGAGATCCTTCGCGGATTCGTCATCAGAGACATGAGTAGCATGCTACTCATGCTACTCATGTCTCTGATGACGAATCCGCGACGGATCTCGAAAC